TCTTCTTTTCTCTACCATTCTTGTCTCTTGGCTCCCAAGCTGTGTGTGTGTGGGGGGAGGGGTCAGTGTGTGTTGAGTGTGGTTTATTCTCTATGTTGGTGGAACATACTCTCAAGTAACTTCCAGATAGGTAGCAAGGAGACCTAAAATTTTTTGAGAACTAGACATCCCAAAATGATTTTATTCAACCCTTATACTTAATGGATAGTTTGTGGATAGAATTTTAGTTTATACTCTCTTCCACTTGGAATTTCAAGGGCATTACACATGACCCTCTTTTAAGTGTCTATTATTGCTGTTGAGACATCGTATGGATTCTTATCCTTCCTCCTTTGTGTGTAATGTATTTTAATTAGGTTTATAGGAATATCTGAATCTTCTTTATATCTCTTGCTGTTTTGAGTACAGTAATTTTATGGACATTTTTAATATCAGATAGAACAAGATTTAAAATGGTTTTATAAGCCACATAATATCTATAATGTAATTGATATTAATCTTAGTTAACTGGCCATAATCATCAACCATGTTATTTTTCTTTCCAATAGTTGCAGCTAGTTTTATAAATTTATTTTTCATGCAATAGCACTGTAACCATTAATGTTAAAAAATCTTGGAAAGTACAATAGGCAAGAGTCAGTTGACATTAGACTACATAAATGTAGATTTTAACCCACACTGTCTAATTAGTTGACTCTGGGTGAATGGTGTCATTTTTCTATGTCTCTGTTTCCATAACTTTAAAATCGAAATCATTATTCTATATTTATATCCCCTGCTGCTTTGTGACAATGAACCGGATAATGTAAAGGCATTTAGAACAAAGTAAAACTATATATCTGTAATATTTATATGTCTTGTTTTGTTAATTTTCTACAACTATGCTAAGAGAATATTCTTAGTTTATATTCATTCACTACCCTTTGCTATGTTTTAATGTCCTTATCTTGATTCAAAAGCCTCTCTCCCATAAATAAATCAGAGCACCAACTCCCAACGCAAGCAGTTTGGGGACTTCTAGGCAAAGAAGAAATTTTCAAAAAATATTAAAAACTGCCATTAGAGATATTAATCTCTGAAAGTCTAAAATATTCTGGGCTTAAATTTAGCAATTGCCAATTCTTTGATGTGTGCTTAAGGCTAAGAAACAGTCAAGATGTATTCTAGAAATTTAATTCATTTAATTCATTTTTAGTGGTCAATTAATAACCTCCAGTGATGAATCTGGCTCACAGTAAAGACCCAGAATTATTTTTTATTTCAATAACAGACAATTTTTAGGATATGCTTTCAATGTTAAATTCCCAGTGAGTAATCCAGGAATAGAAATCAGTAGCACTGAATTTTAAACTCAGGCCATTTAGTAAAGCATAATAAGGTCTAGAAAAGACATCCTTCATAGAGGGGAGGCATTACTATACAAGGAATCACATCAGATTTATTCTGGGAAGAAGAGTAGTTTGAAATACTGTAATAAATATATGTATCATCTTTTCAAAACAAACTAGAAAATGTAGGACCTTGAAAACATCTTTTCTGGTGGAATGCCAAAGGCAGAAAAAGAAACCATTTTAGAAAACATGAGTTTAAAAGTCTTGGGGAGGGCTTCCATGGTGGTGCAGTGGTTGAGAGTCTGCCTGCCGATGCAGGGGACACGGGTTTGCGCCCTGGTGCGGGGAGATCCCACATGCCGCGGAACGGCTAGGCCCGTGAGCCATGGCCGCTGAGCCTGCGCGTCTGGAGCCTGTGCTCAGCAACCGGAGAGGCCCCAACAGTGAGAGGCCCGCGCACCGAAAAAAAAAAAAAAAAAGTCTTGGGGAAAATCAGGTCAGAAGTTTTCACTTACATGATATAGGCGATGACTGGGACAATGACCGCTAGCATTTACTGACTACGTGCCAGCCACAGTGCCAAGTGCCTTACACTCGTTATTTCCATCAACCATTGCAACACACTAATAAGGTAAATACTATTGTTATTCTTACTTTTGTAGACTAGGAATCAGAGACTCAGAGAATATGAGTAACTTGTCTAATATCATACATATAAAAATTGTCATGTGCACATTGGCATATAAAGATATACCATGTCTATAAGTAAGAAAATATTTTATGCAACGATATCAATTCCCTCAAAATTATATTAGAATTTTAATATAATTTCAAGAAATATTCATGTGGAACTTCCTTTGCTTCTCAAGAGAGTTTTAAAGTTTTTAAAAACTATTTATTTATTTTTTAACATCTTCAGTGGAGTATAATTGCTTTACAATGGTGTGTTAGCTTATGCTGTATAACAAAGTGAATCAGCTATACATAAACATATATCCCCATATCTCTTCCCTCTTGTGTCTCCCTCCCTCCCACCCTCCCTATCCCACCCCTCTAGGTGGTCACAAAGCACCGAGCTGATCTCCCTGTACTATGTGACTGCTTCCCACTAGCTATCTATTTTACATTTGGTAGTGTATATATGTCCATGCCACTCTCTCACTTTGTCCCAGCTTACCCTTCCCCCTCCCTGTGTCCTCAACTCCATTCTCTATGTCTGTGTCTTTATTCCTGTCCTGCCCCTAGGTTCTTCAGAACCATTTATTTGTTTGTTTTTAGATTTCATATATATATATATATATATATATATATATACCATATATATATGGTATTTATTTTTCTCTTTCTGACTTACTTCACTCTGTATGATAGTCTCTAGGTCCATCCACCTCATTACAAATAACTCAATTTCGTTTCTTTTTATGGCTGAATAATATTCCATTGCATATATGTGCCACATCTTCTTTATCCATTCATCTGTCAATGTCAAGTTGCTTCCTTGTACTGGTTATTGTAAATAGAGCTGCAATGAACATTGTGGTACATGACCCTTTTTGAATTATGGTTTTCTCAGGGTATATGCCCAGTAGTGGGATTGCTGGGTAGTATGGTAGTTCTATTTGTAGTTTTTTAAGGACCCTCCATACTGTTCTCCATAGTGGCTGTATCAATTTACATTCCCACGAGCAGCACAAGAGGGTTCCCTTTTCTCCACACCCTCTCCAGCATTTATTGTTTGTAGATTTTTTTGATGATGGCCATTCTGACCGGTGTGAGGTGATATCTCATTGTAGTTTTTTTTTTTTTTTCTTTTTGCTGTACGCGGGCCTCTCACTGTTGTGGCCTCACCTGTTGCAGAGCACAGGCTCCAGACGCGCAGGCTCAGCGGCCATGGCTCATGGGCCCAGCCGCTCCGCGGCATGTGGGATCTTCCCAGACCGGGGCACGAACCCATGTCCCCTGCATCGGCAGGCGGACTCTCAACCACTGCGCCACCAGGGAAGCCCTCATTGTAGTTTTGATTTGCATTTCTCTAATGCTTAGCGATGTTGAGCATTCTTTCATGTGTTTGTTGGCAATCTGTATATCTTCTTTGGAAAAATGTCTCTTTAGATCTTCTGCCCATTTTTGGATTGGGCTGTTTGTTTTTTTGATATTGAGCTGCATGAGCTGCTTGTAAATTTTGAAGATTAATCTTTTGTCAGTTGCTTCATTTGCAAATATTTTCTCCCATTCTGAGGGTTGTCTTTTCATTTGTTTATGTTTTCCTTTGCTGTGCAAAAGCTTTTAAGTTTTATTAGGTCCCACTCGTGTGTTTTTGTTTTTATTTCCATTTCTCTATGAGGTGGGTCAAAAATGATCTTGCTGTGATTTATGTCATAGAGTGTTCTGCCTATGTTTTCCTCTAAGAGTTTTATAGTGTCTGGCCCTACTAAAGTTTTTTTTCTTAATATTAAAAAAATAAATGGGTAAAAATAGTTTAATTTAGAAAAAAACTAAAAATAAAGTGAGAATAACAATGAGACTGGCACTGACAGATACAAATAGACTGAAAGGTCAACGAAATATTCCATAAAGTTCATTACCAGCCATGAATATTTTTGAAAATTTTGAGTATGATTGATATGGTATTTCATATTAGTGAGGAAAGGAAAGCTTATTCAACAAATGTTTCCAGGAAAATTTCTTGACTATTACCTCATCACATGGAATAAGCAAAATTTATTTAAATAATTCAATATTACCTTTCACACCACAAAAGAGCTAAAACCTTAAATCTGGGTTTCCTATTTCCCCATCAAATGTCCGCGTGATACCATGCCATTTATCATTCTTTTTAATAGCTTGTGATTTGGCATCATTTTCCTGGATTCAATCACTTGCTCTTACCTTGTGTGATGTTCGCACTTCAGTTTCTTTTCATGTAAAACCAAGTATATTCATAGGTAATTGTAAGAATTAAATGAGATAATATGTGAAAAGTACTTAGAATAGTGTTAAGTACTTGGAATAGTTAAAATTCTTGAGAGTGTAAGTCATGATGGATACCAGTGCTATCAGATCTTATCAAAACATTAGGAAAATTTTTTTTAAATGAAGGATAAGTCATTGTGCACCTTAGAGATACTGATTATGTGTGGAAGAAAAGGAATTTTTTTGCATTTTGTAATATATTTATAATACTACTTAATAAAACAAAATTTAATTTCAAATTAAGTTTTCACTTTAGAAGTTAGTTCAGTCACTATTTTTTCTATAAAAAGATTTCTACACCATTAGTTTCTTCTTAGTTCCACATTTTTAAGGCTTGCCTTTGACTTAAATGAGGTTTCATGATTTTCTATTTGTACAGTATTTTAAACAAAAACATATTTTTAATTTCAAGAGATTTTTTCCCTGAGAAAGTCTTCAAGTTTCATTCTGTAATCCTCATTCTCCTTTCCCTTTAAAATTTGTAGTACCCCAAAGTGCTTAAATGTTAAATATGAATGTTAAATGAAGTGACAAAGTCATTCTAATTTAATAGATCATACAGATAATGGTGACTTATTTCTTGGTGCTTTTGGTATTAGTACTTAGAAATTAACATTCATATTAAAACAAAAACAAAGCAAACAGGATAGCATACAGATACAACCAAAATCCAGTGTATTGTAAACTGTAACTTACCTTCAGTGTCTGCTAGTCCTATGCCTACTCCTGGCTGTTTTATAGGCTCTTGCCCATTCTGCCCCACCTTTCCTCTGTTTAAAAAGGAAATAAAAGTTTATATATTCAGTTATGACCCTAAATGCAAATAAGGAGTCTAAGTTTGAAAAAATAGAATGACATATATTCAGACCTGCAACAAATTACTTGAATGGCAAATGTACAAACACAATAAATCACTCTATATCATGTTAATTTTAAAGTGGAAATTTGTTTATCATTCCTATTTAGTCCAAACATAGTACCTCAAAATTCAGTGTCCTATTCATAGACTCATTTATGAAAGACATGAACATCATGAAATCTTCAAATTTTGTTTTAGAATTGTTTAATTTTTTTTCTGCCATTTTTAACTCAAGAAGGAGAAGGGTTATTTATATCTTCACACTTTGTTATGATGAGTTGTATAGATCCTTTGGTGAAAAGGGAAATTTTGAATTGAATAATTTATAAATATAATATTGTAATTACATGGATTATCATTTCTTTCAGATCCTTCCTGTATTTTCAGCTGTGTGTAGCACATTGGCTTTTGAAGTAATACAGCTTGGTTTCTGCTTCTGGCTTTGCTACTTTATGCTCTACGTCATATAAGGTAAATCTCTTAATCTGGTGAAGACTATTTCTTCTTTTGTAATTTAAGGATAGTAACATGAGCTACCATTTTGTTATGGGAAAATCACATGGAAAATGTATGTAAGTGCTTAGCATAGTGTCTGAAACATCATAATATTCAATAAATATAAATTATTAATAGGTAGATATGTACATAACAGCTTTAGAATTCAGCCAAAGGCTGTGAACCATTTTTAATTTCAGCCTTAAACTTCTTGGAAGGCCAAACAGATGAAGAATTCATTATACTTTGAGCACTGTGGTTTCAGAATATTGATAATGTAGCAGCCAAAAGATTATAGGTCTTTTCTTATTTCTTCAGAGAAAAAGCTACATGGCGTACAAAAGATTTGGAAGTTGCCTTTATATGTAGTTATCTAAGATGTTCTAAAAAGATGGAATAGGGCTTCCCTGGTGGCGCAGTGGTTGAGAGTCTGCCTGCCGATGCAGGGGACACGGGTTCGTGCCCTGGTCCGGGAAGATCCCACATGCCGCGGAGCGGCTGGGCCCGTGAGCCATGGCCGCTGACCCTGCGCGTCCGGAGCCTGTGCTCCGCAATGGGAGAGACCACAACAGTGAGAGGTCCGCGTACCGCAAAAAAATTAAAAAATAAATAAATAAATTTAAAAAGATGGAACAAAAATTCTTAAGTGTTAAAAATGGTGCTTGAACAAAGGAATGTCTTGATACTATACTTTCTAGACAATAATTCAAACTTAGCAGTATTTACTACAATTCATTCACACTCTCACAAAAATATTTAGTTTGACCAACCAGCTGAAAATGTAACCATACTTATTTCTTAAGACTCCAATTAGATCTTACTTGAAAACTGCTCTAAAGATCCTCTCATCATTCTACTGAAATGGTTCTGCACATAATGAGAGGAACTGATATAAATTCCAAAACCATTTTATCTTGAAAGCCATTACATTGTTCCAAGACGACAATTCTAGGTCAAAGTTTTAAACACAAATTTTTATTAAGTGATTATGTGAAGGATAAAGTACATGAAGAAATGTTATAAATTATATATATAATTATATATAGTTTGCATCTGAATATATACAAAAAAGTCTTGATTAAGCAATGCACAAAACTTCAATTTGTGTAATTACTTCAATGAGATTCAAGACAAAGAGTTGATAAATTTAAAAAATTGACTTTGTCTGCCAGAATTAGACATGGAGAAAGCTTAATAACTTAGTAGCAATCTCACCTTTAGCAGTATACTATACAAGCAGAGCGGGCCAAAACACATCTTGTTACTGAGCCAAACTCAATTGAAAGTGAGGATCGTTTTAGTAGTGCTAATTGAGTAGATGAGAGTACTGAAAAATTACTATCCTATACTATCCCAAACTTTAACAAAATAAGTATAATTTTTAGTAATTGTAATAAAAATTTTTTGGATAAGTTTTATTTGATCTTGAGGCCTACATTTCATATTTTAATGATGCTATTCAGCTGCAGTATTTGCTTCTAATGAAAACTGATTTTAACATTTGGTATTTAGCCAAAATGTGTGCTAGGAACATTTCTAAGATTATACAGAAAACTTGCAGCACTGTGAAGCTAAATGAAGTACAAAGGAAATGTAACTGTGGGTCATAAAGGATGCAATTTTTCTGAATTCCCAATAAATAATCTTCATCTCAGAACATTCTGACTGCACGGGTTATAACTTGTCTTTGTTAAACAATCACCAAATAGTTATTAAACACTTATGCTAGCCCAAGAAAAACTGTGTTAGATACAAAGAGATAGAAAAGAACCACCAAATACTGCTTTTTACTTATATCCTGTAATTCTTTAGAAAAGAGAATTCTCTTTGTGCTCATATGGCAAAAACAATAGCCTCCTACGCTGTTTTAAAGGCTTTTGATTTACAAGAGAAACAGAAAAATGGGAAAAAGCAAAATTGAAATGTGGTTTGTATGTAAAAAAAACAATCTACTTCCACTTCACACATTCAGATATTGAGGAAATAATGTATTTTACGCTCTGAAAGTTATAACTTTACCATCAGTGTTAGATTATATATTTTGAAAGGTACAGATAAATTAGAAGGATAGTAAGTGATGTGTGGTGCAAAACCTTTACAAATTTATATGATATTCACAGCTTGGAGAGAGAGGAATGTAATGAATTTGTAGAAATTCTCTTCAGTTAAAATGGATCATCAGAGTCTGCGGACTAATGAGATCACACTCCTTTTAGAAATAACTGCTAATAATAAACGAACTGATTAAATACAAATAACTCTATTAAATCCACAGCCTAGGTCTCAAAAAAAATAGACAGATAATCCAATAATTAGTCAATTTAAGTAGGAAAAATGTAACCTGAAAATCACAAAATAAACATATTTTTCACCTTACAAATACATTTTCCCCATTATTTTGCTTTTATAAACTTGAGCCATTATCTAAATATTAGAATTATTCTGGGGATCAAAAGAAAAGATTCATAAAAAACCGTGATATTAAAACAAAGAGAAATAGAAGTTCCACTCCCAGAGATGGTTTCACTTAACAGAGAAAATGAAAAAGACCCTCTAACAAGGGCCCAGACCAGGGATCTTCAAACTCACTTTGCAAAGGGCCAGACAGTGAATGATCTGAATGGTCTCTGTTGTAATTACACAAGTCTGCCCTTAGAGCACAGACAACATTAGGCAACACATAAGCAAACTGGTGTGGCCGTGTTCCAATAAAACTTAATACATGGAAACTTAAATTTCAAATTCATGTAATTATCATGTGTCACAAAATGCTATTCTTCTGGGTTTTTGGGAAACATTTAAAAATGCAAAAGCCATTTTTAGTTCTTCACAGACCTTACAAAACCAGACGGCAGGCTGGACTCACCCTGGGCTAGATCCTGGAGCTGCATGGCCCAATGGTGTTCTTGAAAACTTAGAAAACTAGTTACTGGAGAAAGTCAGGAAGTTTAGATTTTGATATTGGAATAGAGATAACATATTTATCTTGGATTTATCTTGGATGCTGCTAGATTTTGACACTGATATGACTAAACCCATTCTAACACATTTTAAATACAGTCTGCTTTAGTTTTGCATTTTATTGGCAATATGATTTTCTCGAGGCTTAACGTATTATAAATTAACTTTACTCCAAGAGTATCTATTTGGGGACCTATGTACTGCTTGTTATTTGCTCTAGAAAATATGGATCCACTTCAAAATCTTCCATTTTAATGGTAGAGGAATTTATAGTTGAAAAGTCTATATGAGTAACCCAATGTGTTATTTTAATGTGATATATGAGTTCTTTAAATATGTTTAAATATCTCCTGATTCAAAATCAATTAATCTATGCATTATGCGATTAAAGCATCCATGTATTACTGCTGCTGAACTTGATTCAGGCATAGCTAGGTTATTATTATTTTAGCAGTTTTTCTATTAAATACAGAATGTACTGATTAAGTAGTCCTGGTGGTGACCAGCATTCATGCTTAGAATTCACTAAATTAATCCAATCTTTCCTGAACAGTCTATTTTTTACATAGGCATAAACAGTTGAAGTCCTTCAGGGACACTGACTCAGACTTGGATAATTATCTAGTTATTTCCTTTTCAATGTTAAGAAAAGCTTACTCATGAGGCTGTTAATTTTCCAGTGGAAAAAAAAAACAAACCACCACTTACATCCTTGGAATAGGAAATAGATTAGTGTCCCCTGCAGTGCTGCTGCTTCCTTCACTGTCCACGCTATACCCACTGCCAAAGCTGCTGCCCGAGGAGCCAGTGGACAAGGAGTTTTCTGCAGGCCAGTGATTGGTGGGCTTGGCTGCATGGTGTGGGAAGAATCAACACCACAGTCAATCAATGAACCTCCCATTGATCTCCGAATGCATACTTATATGTTTTCTTCATTTACGTGTGTAAAGAAACAGCTCTAGCAAGAACTCCACATCTTAACCTGCCTTTCATTTTCTTTTCCTTAACCAGTAACTCTCAGTGGCAACACTAAAGCCCTTGATTGGTTTTGTTGGATATAAAAGAAAAAAAAATTAACTTCTAGGAATCAACCATCAGATTTTTAGACTGAGTTAAATAGTATTATTATTACTTGTTATTTCTTTATACAGTATTGCAATAACGATATGGCAAACAAATAAGAATTGTGGCTATTTCATGGAGAAAGGAATTGAGGAAGACTTGGGTAGACAGAAATGACAGAATATGTGAAAATTTCTTAATTATTTCCCATATTAATAACCAGTAATTTGTTTTTCTCCTGAGAAGTGAAGATGCAAAATAGAATAGATAATTTCAGGAAATGACTGAAAATCCTGGACTTGTTTGTATGTAGCTCTACCAACTACCTCCAGCAGGTTTTTAAATTTGAAAATATTTGTTTCCCCTTAGGCATGTCCTAGTTTATGACTGGGGCTTGTTTTAAATAACCCATGAGTTTGATTTTTTGTATATAAGAACCCATATTCCCATAGAAGAGTTATGAATTTGTGTTATAAATTACGCAGTAATAGAATGGTACTATTGTTAGCAGAGTTCTAGATTAGAGATTTGGGAGGAAATTCTGATGCAAAAGGAATGAAAAGAAGGCAAGTGTAGGCAATTGGGATTGACATGTATACACTGATGTGTATAAAATTGATGACTAATAAGAACCTGCAGTATAATAAAACAAAAAAACAACTAATACTAAACTTTCTTTGGGTTATTTGTATGGAAATATGTTAATATAAATGTTTCAGACATTACATGAAATTTCTAAAAATCTTATATGTCCTAGTATAATATTATAAAATATAATTTTAGCTATTACTTTAAAATGTATATCTCAGAAATAACTAAAAAGAAAAGAAAAGAAGGCAAGTGTTTCCTCTTTTTTTGTGGGGGTGGAGATTCTCTAGGCAAATTTTTGAAATTTTTGTCTTCTGCCACGTGGTCAGAGTTTAAGAGCATGAGCTCTGATCACACGGATCTGGTTTTGAATCCCAACTCCTGCTGAAGTTAACTCTAGGTGGTCTCAGTTTCCTCATTTGAAAATAATGGGGTCAGTAAAGCCCCCCTCATAAGACTGTGATTATGAGGAGTGAGATAAAACAGGAACTCAGTAACTCAATCTTCTTTGTCTTGTGATTTAATTTGCTGTACCCCCAAGCTCTTCTTCAGGACTTTACTGTCAATGGCTGTTCCCCATTGAGCAGCGCACCTAGTCCCGAACAATGAATTCACCTTGATTCTCTTCTAATTTTAGATGTATTCTAGGCTTCAAAAGTACTTAAGAGTCTCTCTCCTCCATAAATACTCTCCTGTTCACTCAGCAGTTTCTCAAGCAGTTGGATAGATCCACACAACTGGGTAAAGTGTTGATAATCATTTAATGATTCTAAATTATCAACATTTTTCTTAAGGAAATGTATAAAAACACAATGACAATCCGGTGGAGTTTTAACCAATATACCCAAATAAAGTGAAAAGCATAGATACTGTGAGGGAAATATCTGAGGGCAGGAAACTCTCCATCAGATTAGCCAGGATCAAGTCTTGCAAAGGCTTTAGCTTTTCCTCACTTCTTCCCTTCCATTTGTGAACTAGCAGTTTCTCTAAAGCCACCAGAAATTTTCATACTATCTATTCCAGTGATAGTAGGATTCCTTTCCCAGAATAGAGAAGGAAGAAATGTTTGATAATTAGTCAGTTATATATCAGGTATCTATAAATTGGGAATAGCTAGGTAGAAAAGGGCCTGAATCCTGTTACATAGCCAGTCACCAGTGAATTAAGAGTAACTCATAGGACTAGATTTCCAGGAAAAGAATAATAGCCATAATATTTGTTTAATATTTTCTTCAACGTACGTAGAAGAAACCCAGCTGATGTATGTAGTGATAAAGACCTTTTAAAAGGATAAGTTAAAAAATGTAAAGGTAATATGACTGATATAAAATTATGAACATTATAAAGAAGATTAAACTGTATAACCAACCACATAATGAGTCAGGTAAGTCAACTGATTGTAAACAAGGAAAAGCTATCATAACTTTTGATTGTCATTATATAATCCACCTACTAGATAGTTAATAATTTTTAGTATGATATTGAATGTAAAAATTTAATTTCATCAACTGGAAAATCTCAGTATACTATTTTCAAAGACAAACCTTAATTAATAGACATTAATTTTAAAATCAATTTATCTTTACTAATTTAAAACTTTTTAAATCCCAGAGCAATCTCACAATATATCAAAATATCCACATTATAGAAATGATGTTTCTTATTTACATATCAAAATATCCAATCTTTTCTTTTGCAAACTTTGATATTACCTGATGCAATTTCTAGTTCTATTCCTCTTCTGGGAAATTTGAGAAATGTGAACAGAACGTAAAACAATATAGTAAAAGAAAAGGAACAAGGATAGAAATAAATTTAAGGAAAGCCAGTTTTGTCATACTGCCTAGGTCAATAGAAATTTCATTTGGAAAACCTGTGCAAGTGTTGTCACTATTTTAAAGGCAGACAAGTAATAGTTTATAAGAAATATTACAAGAAAAAAACCTAAATATAGGGAACATATACATATTTCAGAATAAGTCTAAGTCTACCTTAACATCTTTGCAAAACAAAATTACATGTAATGTTGAATCTAAAGAAATTTTGGGTGGTAGGTGAATAATTCAAATGAGTCTAGATATTTGGCATTATCTCAAAACATCTGGTGCATGATTGAATTTTTTATACTTAACCTGGTATGTAAGCATAGAGATAGCCTGACATTTAGTTCGTTTCTGAAAATGACTTAAACTAAAATGCAGAGTGGATCTTCCCTGTACAGGGCTATATATACATAGCATAAAATGAGATTAAAAATACAGAAATGCTGAGGTTTTGATAAGCTGGTGCTAAGAGTCCAAATATTTTAAAAGTTCTTTTTCAGTTACTTGAAACAACATGTCTATTTGCTAATTTCTTTTAATTGAATCAGCCCCCACATAAGAAACCATCAAATCAATTAAACTGAACTAAATCTGTATTACTGTAAACTTCTTAATGACTAAAGCACTTTTAGGATTCAATATTGGAGGCCAGATCATATGCAATTTCAAGACATCTCATGACTTCAGTCAAATTCTTTAGTTTGCCTCTCGAAGTCCTTTATCATCTGTTCCTTTCCATATGTACCTCCCATAATTTTCCTTTGTATACCCTTCATTGAAGCCCATTCAGACCACTCACTCTGAATCCCTATGGTTTGGCTTTTTTTCTCCTGAGCTCTAGCCAAGCCTCTTCTTTCCAGTTTTGTTATACCCTCCCGTGACCCTGTCACTTTCTCATATCTAAATTATACTCATCCGGAAAGGCTCAGCTCAGATAGAACCTGCTTCATACATTTTCCTCATCTTTACAATCAGAAGTGAACTTCTATACCTAGACTCTCATAGAACATAAGTTTTGTCTTTTATGGCAATTGTCACTTTCTATCTTTAATTGTAGTTAATACATTCATGTGGCTATTGGAAACAGAACCTACCTATGTTTGCTCCATGGTAGCCTTCTTAAAAGCTTAATCCTTAAATATGCTTAAGCAATATTTAATAAATTGATAGTAAAATTATAATAATGATAACATATTAATAATTCTTTCCTTTAATCAAACAACTTAAAACATCTGAGTGATTTAGTAGATTTTTTTCATTTTTAATCCAGTTCTGTTGATACAAATCAAAAAAATCTCATCAAAGACACCACAATACAGGTTTTTTTTAACCCCACGTTCTTTGTCAATGAAATTTTGGGTAACCTAGTTTTTTTTGGTAGCTTTTAAAATCAGAGATTTAACTTTAATCTGTCATACTATATATAAAAATGTGATCACTCAACCAGATGTTCTGTTATCCCAATTCCCTCAAAACTGGTTTGACTGAAAGAAATATTTAATGATAATACATGAAACATGGGAGAGCATAGACTTGTGAATTAAAAAAATTCATAACAGACCATGAATATTATATATATATTTCTAAGTTGAAGTGACAAAATAATTTGTATGGTAACATTCCATGGGAAGCACTAGATGGTGCTAATACAGACACTAGTACTTAGGCTGATTGCACCTCTTGGTATACAGACAGGTGGTGAGCTCTGGTTTATATTTCAGTGTAATGTCTCTCTTTCTATGTTCTTGTAGAAAATATTATTTTAAAACATTAAAACTAAATATGACTTTCCATAATTTTATGATTTCAAAATTAACAATTTAAAAATATTCTATCTGCTTTATTTTTCCAAATCTTGAAATCAGAATTTCAGAAATCATGTATTATGCACCTGTGTATTACATATGAAAATATTTATTTTACATTAGAACTGAGATTTATTTAATAATGAAAAACATTTTTGGAGCCATTTTCTTAAAGAGTTACATTTTGGGGGGCCTACTTTCTTTTTGAATTTTTATTTGTACTATTAAGTACCAAGTAGAGAAAAGAATGTATCATATAAATATGTGATGGAAGAAGTCCACTCCTACAGAGAGGGTCCCTATATGCTAGAAGAATAAATACTAGCATGTTGAATAATTTTGTGACTCAGTTATTGAGGGGGCATTTCAGGTAAACGAATTTTATTTTCTGTGAGGCAATTCAATCTGTTTTAAATTATTCTTTGACCTCTTCATTTTCTGCGGCTGCTAGGTGGTTAGAAAACATTTTGTTTTATTACTCCTCTGTGGCTAACCTTAATTAAACCTGGTAGTGTCTCTTTGACTGCACATCTGTTTTCAATGTTTGCTCTGTTGATTTTCCCCCTCTACTA